TAAATGACATAAATCAAATAATACCATAGTACAAAACACACAGTACATATAAGGTAAGCCAAATAAACCAACTATCGCATAGAGGTTAAATAAATAGTGACAAACTATACACCACCAATGGCAAAAACATAGTAAACAGATACTGTATAAACAAACGTATCATATACATTCTCACACGGACTACCATATAGTCATATATCCCAAACATGTTTCTAAGACATGCCCTGAAACAATGGGCTCATAAACATGTAAAATGATCATACAAATGGCAAGTTCGTAAAATCAAAAGAAATGAATGGAATGCCTCTCAAAAGACACCACGCAAAAAATGTAACACAAAACCTGAACGAATCCAATCGCCCACCATGAGGAAAGGAATCATCCCCCCAATGACCACTAAGTCCTCGAGACATAGGGTCAGCAAGTCTTTCCCAAGACCAGCTTATACTCCGATGGAATACCAGTACTACACGAACAAGACAACAACGAAATGGATAGCCTTAATGCTAACTGTTACGAGACATCAACAAGAGAACCCACAATCCAAGATGCCAACGAGTTCGATAGGAACTCCACAGGATTCTACCAGAACCCTAACACAATGCCCTAAGTCTTTAAAGACAAGGGAGAGTAATCAATTGCACTAGCGCAATTAATTACACGAGACCTCTCACATCCTAGCTGTAGCTCGTAAGAGCTGTTTAAGGCAACACAATAAGGATTCTAAGTCAACACACCTATCCAAATCTTGAAACTATCATCCTAAGAAAACAAGACACGAGAACCTCGCCTTGAGGCTCACAAAGTAACTCCCGACTCCTTAAGGAAGGATTCGAGTCAGCCCTGACTCATCATCCCATGATGCTAGAAACAAAGATCTTAATGACATCAATTACGTCAAGACCACCACGAAGTCCTAAGAAATGACATCGACACCTCTAACACCACCATGACTACATCATGAAAAGACAAAAGAAAATGAGATGAAACGATGCCTCCATGGCCTAACAAGAAGACTCTCCATGAGTCAAGACTGTGATGCTATATGCGTGAAAAAGAAACAGGATCAAGAATAACATGAGTTATTATGATCGGATGCAACTCGCTCAATGAATGCATCAAATAATTACCACGTCAATGTATGCAACATACAGTCATGCATAAGCAGGTAAGCATATACAACATGCTAAACAGATAATGAAAAACTCCTAAGTACGTAAACACATAAGCACGTATCAAACTATGATGCTTTTAAACACATAAGCATATAAGTGCAGAAAACATGTTATCACACCGAGCATGTTATCAAAAGCATGTGAACATATCAAAGTACATCAACAAAAGCATGATATGCACCTAAAGCCCGTCGTCCAAGGTATTCGAACCCGGACGCTCTGATACCACCTGTGACGATCCTGAATTTTTCAACCCAATGTGTCCTGTGATGACCCGAAACGGATCCAAAATACGGAAGCAAAACAAAACCAAGTCCTTAGAGATGTACATCATCCCTAAGGCACAAGAATGGCCCTTCGAGAAATTTTAAGGCTCAGTGGCAGCAAAACGAAGACAAGGACATCAAAATCCTACAAAAGAATGACTAAGGGTAAAATGGTCATTTTACCCCAAGAGGAAGAAATTTGACTTTCAACAAGTCAAATTAGATCAAAAACATCCTTTGGTAACTTCACATGAAGTCTCAAGGCCAAAGGAAATGAAATCCCAGAAGAACCCTATCCCGGTTCGAACCAAGTCCGACACCCTCTCACTAAAATGAGGATACCATGACCTAGGAAAAGAATCTAAAACTAAAATTTATACCATTGGAAAGCTTATTTCGACACAGTCAGTTTAGACTCAAGAACGGACCAATTCGGAGTTAAAACGAAGAAGTTACATCAGTTTGAAGTTGGAAGTCCAAAACTGAAAACTCTGGAAGACTTGAACCGGTTCAACATTGGCAGTATGCCCAAGCTGAACCAAAATGACACCTTGAACCGGTTCAACTATTCTTGAACCGGTTCAACTTGAACAGAACACCCAAAATGCAGCAGAAACAGTGTTTTAGCAGAAAAATTGAGTTTGAAGCACGGTTTTTGAGATTAAGATGACATTTTTCGGAAAAATGTCGTGAAGAAACTCCCCCTAAAATCACATTTTCTATGTGATAGAGTTGAGAATGGAATTTATTTCCCAAAAGAAATCCCCTAAATGCCCTAAAGCAAGATTTTTCAACAAATGTGTGAAATGAATCCATAAGAGGCTCATTTCGCCAACTAAAGAGTTTTTCCCAAAAAAGACCATGCACGCATATGTAACTTACCTATTAGGACACGCTACAACAATTCACGGTTTAAAAATACCGTCGATGCAAAATACAACTCCCCAACGGCCAAAATGACAAAAATGAAGCTTAGAATGAAAACTTGGATCTCAAAATTATGAAATGGTTTTGAAATGCCGTTTGGCCATTGGCCACACTTCATAAATGATAAATGAATGCTAATGGATGAATTTCACACATAAATGCACGCTCCGGTGCAAAATAGCATACTAAAACGCATTATTTTTCATATATTCTCATTAAAGGCAAGATTTGACATCCATGACATAAATGTAATTCTGAAAGAAGTTTAGCCATTGGCCTCATGTCATATACATAAAATGAGAATCAAAAAGTGTGCTTAGGCACACATTACAAGTTTAGAACTAAATATACACATTTGACATATAAGGTTACAAATGGTTTTTTAAGCCAACCTTCACAAGAATTGAACCATTCAAGTCCTCAAATCATCCAAGCATAATGAGAACCTCAACCTTGATTCCTGTACCTAAAATATGCCCCAGTAACTTTGGGGTGAGTAACATAAAGCTACTCGTAGGAAATGAGCATGCATCGACCTAGCATTTTACAATTTTATCACCTTAAGGTGAAACATGTCAAAGGGGCTCATGCCACCTAACGTCTATGTCAAGATGAGACTCAAGGAGCATCCTAATCTACCCTAGATCATTTCTAGCACAAATCAAATCATCCATGCAATTCAAACCACATAGGAGCATGCTATACAAAGCAACAAGGTATAGATTCTCAAAGTTATCAACTTGAAATCTAAAATGCGAAAACAACCAAAGTGGGTCATGTCACCTAACGTCTATGTTCCAAATGAATCTATAGGATCATTCCTAAGCTTCATTTGAACAATATAGCACAATTCACCATATCTATGCAATTTAACCAACATAGATGTATGTTATATAAAGTAACAAGACATAAATTTACAAAGTTATCAACTTGAAATCTAAAAGTGTAAAATCAACTAAATATAACAATTTAGTATAATTAGAATTTCTAATACCACACATCAAGACATAGATTCTCTAGATTATCAACTAGAAATCTAAAATACGAGATCAACTAAATATAGCAATTTAGTATAATTAGAATTTCTAATACCACACATCAAAACATAGATTCTTTAGATTATCAACTAGAAATCTAAAATACGATATCAACTAAACATAGCAATTTGGTATAATTAGAATTTCTAATACTACACATCAAGACATAAATTCTCAAAGTTATCAACTTGAAATCTAACATACGAGATCAACTAAATATATCAATTTAGTATAATTAGAATTTCTAATACCACATATCAAGACATAGATTTTCAAAGTTGTCAATTTGAAATCTAAAAGTACGAAATCAACTAAATATAGTAATTTAGTATAATTAGAATTTCTAATACCACACATCAAGACATAGATTCTCAAAGTTATCAACTTGAAATCTAAAAGTGTGAAATCAAATAATGGAATACTTGGACATCTAAGCTCGGAATTCTGCCGAGACCTCAACGGTTATTTCGGGCATTAACCCGCAGAGAAGACCACCCTAAGTGCGCACTATCTCAATTGGGGAGAACTCATACCTCCCGCACTAAAACCAAACTCTAGCCATAACATAGTAACCATGTCCCAAGTGACTCCAAAAATAAATAAGTTAACAACTTATATACGCATTAAATAGTATACGAAACTACCTTCATGCACAAGTAAGTTGAAGCCACACAATACATGCTCTAAATCCACAACTACTATAGGATGAAAAATGTCGAATCTTCAAACCGCGATTCATTACGCGATATAATAACATCACATATCGAATCTTCAGTGTGCGATTCGTTACACGTTATAACAATATAATTTAATATTGAAAGCATAACTTATAAATCCATTACAAGTCTAAAATCATACTTCAAACATACTACCAATGTTATATACATGATTAAAACTTCAACGTAATAGAGACGGAAATTAATTACATAACCTAATTAATTTCTGTAAGTTTCAAATCTCGATTTAATGATCCTTAATTAACACATGTTATACAACATAGCATGGTCATTACATATACCACATGAAAAACTTAATTAGGTCATTAAAACAATATGATGGAATTTAATTAAAACATGATAATTAAATTCCTAGATTCTAAAACAACATCGAATGGTCCCAATTTAACATATGCTAGTGTACAAGTTCTAGTCATCACAAAAATTAAGTTAAAAACTTAATTAAGCCAACGGAACCTTTAAATATATTTTAATTAATCATTTTAATTAAAATTTCTAAATTTTTCATACTTATCCAAATGCTCTCAATTTAAAATATGTTAAAGGACATGGCAAAACTTAATTTAAAAACATATCACAACTTAATTTCATGCAAGGTACACCCATGAAAGTTAAACTTCCACAAAAGATAATTATTAAATAAAAAGTGCAATTATTATTCAAATAATTTCAATTTAATATATGTTAACACACATATCAAAACATAATTTATCATCATGCCACTTTTCAATTTTAAACTATATATATATATATATATCCTTGTAAATTAAATCTTATATAAAGAATTAAACATTAATAATTTTCTAGATTTGATACAAGGTAAGCAAACAAGTTGTATAATCATGGAAACACCCAATAAAACACATACAAAATCCTAAAACATCCCCTACCTCCATTTGAGATGAAATCTCAAATCCCCACCGAAATGAAACGGCTCCGAATCCGACGAAACTTCTAGGTTTTTTCGAGAACAACACGGTGAACAAGAACCCAAAGGAAGCCCTATAAAAATCACAACTTGACTTCAAACCCGAACTCAAGAAATTGCCAAAACGAGATTCCAATCGGTGGAATCAAAGGCCTCGCCAAGGCAAACATAAAACGCGAGGCACTATGACTTTTCATTGAAGGGAAGAGGCTCAAAAGAGGAGAGAGAAGATGGCAGCCATGGGAGGAGCTAGGGCCGGCCATGGGAGAGAGAAAGAGAGAGAAAATCTGATTTTTCTTTCTATAGCTCCCTATTTATCGAAAATCTCAAAAAGTGCCCCGAACAGGCCCCGCAGTGTCCGGAAAAGTAGAATTTGAACAAATGTGCGCACCATATTAATGTGTCCCGCGATACACTGGATTATTTTCAACATCACCTCAATGCATCTGTGGCCCAGAATCCGCGTGCACCCCATCTTCTATACTCGCTCACACTCGATTATTAACCCATGTTTCATGCGCCGGCACACAAACCTCCATTGCATATATATAACCAGTATATGTATGTATAAATTTTCCTACAAAATAAAGGAAAATCAAATCAAATAAATTCCTAAAAATTTAGAAAAATACCAGAAATTTCTATAAAAATTCCAGAAATTCCAGAAACTATAAATAACCCCATTAGATCATAGATCAAGCATAATAATTAATTTATAAATATATACAACCTATATATATAATTAAAAACCAACAATTCTAAATTAATCATAATTATAATAAGGCATGCTTTTAATAGTTCGATTTAATCATGATTTAATCAAATACAATTAACTTAATATTTTTTATTAATCCACTTTAACTATGATTTAAATTTATAATTTAATTAAAACCTTGATACTCAAGGTGATAAACTTAAAAGCCATAAGAGGAGAGTTAGAAAAGAACTTACATGAATGTTTCGAAATGAAACCGACGCTTCAAACTTTGATTGTCTCTTCCAATTCCGGCATCTCTTTCTCCGATCCGGACTCCTCTTTATCAACTTTCTCTTCTCTCTGTCTCTCTTATTTTTCCAATGTGTAAACTCTTTAACCCTAAACCTTATGTGTATATTTATACATATTAAAAACTAAATCCTATTCCAACTAGGACTATCAATTTAAATAATAATCTTTAAATAATATAATATATGTTTACATATATTATATTATATACATATATATATTTATCTTCCATAATTAACCATTAGTTAATTAAATAATATAAATCTATATATATCCATAAATATATATCTCTATATATATCTTTCCTAATAATTATTAATTAATTATATTTATATATAATTTTATATTTTTATAATTAATACAAAAATGGCCATTTAAATAATTAAATAACCATGGGCCTTTATTAATTAACCCAATAAGGCCTCTTTCAAGCCCAAGACCATATCCTTTGGTCCAACTTCCCTTAAGTCTAAATTCAATTAGTTTAAATAAATCAAATAATTAAATAAACACGTAAATTAAAATAACTAATTACAATTAATTCACAATAAAATCATACTAGCATAAAAATCACACGTAGTCAAATAAGCAACTTAAAACAATACAATTATGACATTCTCATAAAACAAACCAACACACCAATTCATCAAATATAATCACGAAATATAATTTAATAAAAATAAGACCATTGACCATAACACTCCATTAAATAAAATAAATCATTTAAGAATAAAATAAAAGCAATTAATTCTAATTGAATCAAATAAATCATTTAAAAATCAAATAAAAGTAATTAATCCTAATTAATAAATTCTTTAAAATATCGGGGTATTAAAGCAAGTAAACTATAAATTCAATTCATTGACTTTAAACAAAATTGGCAGATGGAGGATTACCTTCGCCATAGGCGTACCCCAATGTCTAACCAAAAATTCCCATTGCTCCTTTTCAACATCAGCTGGTGGATTTGCCAATCTTTCTGCATCAGTATCCCTAACTGAGTAGTATTCACTTTTTAATTTACACTTGTACCCCCTCCATTTTTTCCCGATGGAGGATAATGTCCACTATTTTGACATGATTTCCACATCATACTTTCTCTGAAAATGTGATAATTGCTGCATGTTAATCCACTTTTTCCATAAAAATTATTTTAATGTCATTGAAGGGTTTTACCTTTACAATGTTCCATATATCCTCGTTAAGCCATTTAGGCATCTCCCACCAAGTTTTGTAGCACAAAGGAGCTAATTTACCATTTCGGGCAAGTGTTCCCAAATAATTAGTATATGTACCACTTCCAAGGCTGATCGGCTGTCCATACTTATTAACCCTAAACAAAAATTAACAATTGTAGATGTTTAGTACAAAAATAAAGATAGAAATCATTTTTTCTCCTTCATATTGAATATAGTCTAATTATGTAAAATATATAAGATGATCTCTATATATATGTACCTTAATGGTAAAAAAGTTGTCGCGTTTACGACATTCTTGCATCGTGTCAGGCCTCGTCTCTTTTTCGGAGGTGGTTAGGATGATTTTGAAGTTGAAACTTCAGTATTTTGTTCACTCACTTTTTCCACTTCACTAACCGTTCGTTTCATTGTCAGCTTATTATTTATCCTTCCTAGAAAAGCAAACAAAAAAGTGAGAATTCATTTAAGAGCTGACAATTCCATTGTGTACAGTAAAAAGTAACAGGTAATAGTTTAATCTCCAAAAGTTCCACATGAACATAAAAAAATTATTTGTATTAATCTAAATAAAAACATATTGCAACATGATCATTTGTAAGAGCTGACAATTCAGTAAAATGATATGCCAAAGTTGATTTACCCATTAGGCAACAAGTAGAATATATTGATGAACTAATGAAACTCATAAGGAATAATTTTAAATGAATAGATAAAAAAATTAAAAACTAGAAAAAACAATCATCAATACCTTCAAAGAATATTAGCCAATCAAATGCGAGTTATCCCCCTCTTGATTGCTAATGCGAAGGAAACCGGGACAAAGGCTGAATTATAGTGGTCACACTGTCAACAATAGCAAGAACATAGCAAGCTCAGTGTCTTGTAGCATACAAAAACAACATACCGGCGGTATAACTGCATAACATATGTGTCAATTTTCATTCATACTTTATGTACACTGATTTTATGTTTCAGCACTAGTCTTAACTTCATATGCCTTTGTTTATCTAATAACATATTGCCATCACTTAAGTCAGCTTCATTGATAATTTCATCATACTTCAATCAAAAAATGACGTAAACTCATCAAATCAAGCCCTGTATTAATTAATATAAATGGCACTTATCCAACTATGGTTCCTAATCTTATGTCATAGTTCTGAAAATGTGAGACTTTTATTATAAATACAAATGTGCACTTATCCAACAATGGAACCTAACCTTGTGACGTCAAAGTATTCTAAAAAAAATGTAAAATAAAAAAATAATAGTAAATGAATTTCTCTAAGATATTGTGTGATGATTAACTGGGAAGGCTTGGACTGTTAACCATCAAGTAGGAACTTCAGACTTTCGTTTTTTAACTTGGAAGATATGGAGGTTTACTCTTTATGGTGATAAAAAAGAAGTCCATGCTACTAATTTCACTAATACTTACGTTCAAGATTTTTGTGACCCCATGTATCTAACAACACTCATATTTAAATTCATATACTTGAATAAAAAAACAAAAAAAACAAAACTCATATAAGGATCATAATAAAAATAAATAAATAAATAAATAACTAAAATGAACAACTTACATGTTGAAGCAACCCTGACACTTCACATTACAAAAATTATATTGTTGAAAGTCTGAAGAAACTCTACATAAGACAACCAAACATCAATAGTCTTGCAGAGAGAAACTAAAACAATCCTAACCAAAGTCTGAAGAAACGTATTATAAAAAATATTATGCATAGTAAAAGTTCCTATATATATATATATATACACACACACACACTAAGTACGAAAAATTCGTTTGGAAATAAAAGAAAAAAAATTTCAAACCAAAAATTCATTTCATAAAAGAAAAAAAACATTAAAAAAAGAAATTTGCTTATGGATTGGAACTTACTCAGAATTGCAGAGAGAAACTAAATTGTGTAAAATGAATGATCAGTGAGAAATAAAACAACGAACCACGAAGAAATTAAAATGAAACAAAGCGGTACCTGAGAGAGGCTTTAGCGAGAACGTTTTGGAAGGAAAATCTAGTGAGTAAGATCTCGAAATGACATAAATTAACAGCTCTTGGAGATCGAGTAGCTGGTAGAGATCGAGACAGAGGAGAGACAGCCTGAAGAGAAGCCTAGGGCTTCAACTTTGTAATCTCAGATGAGATAATGCCGAAAGAGAGACGGGTTAGCAAACATCAATCAAGGGCTTCAGCTGAGAAAAAGAGATCGAGCAGTGAGAGATCGAGATAGGGTAGAGGAGTCTTGCAGCTGAGATGGAGATCGAGCAGTGAGAGATCGAGATAGAGCGGGTTAGCAAACATCAATCAAGGGCTTTAGCTGAGAAATGGAGATCGAGCAGTAGAGATGGAAACAAAGTACAGGAGTCTTGTAACTGAGAGATCGAGATAGAGTAGAGAGGGGAAATGGATGAAGTAGGGCTAAATGAAATTGAAATGGGAAAGTGGAATATAGTGTTAATGGACCCAAAAAAATGACGCAATTTAGGCACCAAATATTCTATATATATAAATAAGTGGAGGGAAAAAGTGGAGGGAGGGGAAAAATTGGAGGGAATGGGAGAGCCATTACCAGCGCTTTTTTTAAAAGCGCTAATAAAAGCCTAATCTAGTGAATTTTAGAAATTAAAAAATTTAGAAGGACATTATATATAATTTTTTTTATAAATGTAAAAATAAATTAAAAAATAACCATATTTTATACTAGGGCCACTAGCTCCGCCTCTGAAAGTAGGTAAAGAGAGTTAACCTAAGATAATATAATTTAACACGGACTTAACTTATATAAAGTGGGAGTGAGCGATTTCGAGAGCGGAAGTATGAAAGTGACAAAATTATATTATAAATAGTGAGAATTTGAACGAGAGCGCTCTATAAACATGAAAGTAAAGGCTAAATCAAATTAAAAAAAAAAAAAAGATTATGTAATTTAGACACGAACCAAACGATGTGCCTCACTTGAGTTTTGTCACGCAAGCTTAATCACGTTTTGGGTGAGCCTTGTCTTGGACGTGCTAATGTTGGCAAAGCTACAGTCGGTGACGGCGAGGAAGCGAGAAAGACCAAACCAGAAAAGCTTTGACGTCCATGACAACCTAAAGCTCCGGCGAGCTACAGTCCGGTAACAGCAAAGTCTCAAGCAACGGCACTGCTCCATTCTACTCCAGTGACAGCGAACAGAGAGCTTCAAATGTCCATGCAAAACCGACTAGAGCTTTGAGCTTTCAACTTTCATGAAAACAGAAGTGTGCCCGAAGCTACTTCAACGTTGAAGACAGGAAAAGACCCAACGTCCATGCAAGCTCCAATGCAACTCCGGCAACTATGAGCAACTGTACGTAGCTTCCATCCGCTCCGGCAAGTGTACAGCCTCTAGTCCGGCGACGCTTCATGCAACGCAGACCCATTTCCGACGACCGCACACTGACCCAGTTAAGTCCGGTGAAATGCAGCTGAGTTTAGTGAGTTTCATTGCTCTACCAAGACAACGGTGACAAACCAACCTGAGCCAACGACGACCAAACCACGGTGAGGAGCTCTAGCGAACAGATCATAGAACAAATGGGATCAGAAGAGAAAACATTTTGTTTATTTAGTTTTATTATTTTTTTATGGGACACGGATCCTCTCCCTAAGCCACCTCTTTCCAAACTAAATCCAACGGTTTTATTAAGACGCGTGTTCACTTACCTAAGACGCGTGTTCACTTACCTATACTACACCGTTTTGGCATCAAATGGACCACACATAGGTTTTGTGCTTCTTTTCTCCCCTCCTCCTCCTCCTACTGTCTCCCTCTGCACCCCACCAACGAACCCCGCTGCCTGTCTCCCTTTTTCTCCAGAAAGCAACCCAATATAGCTTGATCCTCAAACCACTCTCTGCGTAAAGTGAAACCCAGAACTACTTCCACGAAACAAGACACCCACTAGAATTGATCTTCAAAACAGTCAAAATTTTCTACTCTCACTCTCAGAAATTGAAATCCAAAGACAGTTTATCAGAAACAGAAGATACCCATAGAGCTCTTTTGTTTCTTGATAGAAAATAAAGACAATTTAAAAATAAAAAATAAAAAAAAATAAAAATAAAAAAGAGAAAGCCAAAAGAATCAAGTTTGAAAAAATGACCAGAGGAAGTATCGAGATTTAAACAGAAAATAACAAAAGCAAACAATCGCATTCAAAAATCAAACCTCTTCCAAATTTCTCTCATAGAAGAAAATGACAGAGTCTGCTGTGTTCTGTCGCCTGGATTCTCTATCTAGAATATTGTAATGCATACGCATTATTTACAGTGTTGTGGTAGAGAGGTGGAGGTCCGGGCAGTCACCACGGGAGATGGAGTCGCTACCGCCTGCGGAGAAGACGATAAAAAGGGAGACGGCAGCGGGATTCGTTGGTGGGGGTGTAGAGAGAGAAAGTAAGAGAAGGAGGAGAGAGAAAAGAAGCACAATAATCCGTTTGGTATCAAGATGGTATAGTATAGGCAAGTGAACCCGTATCTCAGTATCAATAGTTGGATTTAGTTTTGAGAGAGATGGTTTAAGGAGAGAATCCGTGTCCTTTTTTATTAGAGATATTTTAAATTTTTTAATTGTAAAATTAACGTTTAATTTAATTTAAAGATTTTGTATATTTTAACGGTATTTTCTGTCATTAACTATAATCATTAACTTAAAATACTCGTAATTTTTTCCTTTAAAATTAGTTTGCAAACATATAAAGGTAAAATTAGAATATTGCTTACGGGGTTAATAAATAAATAAAAAAAAGGAGTTGAGAATATCGCTCCCTTCCAATTATTAATAAATTTTAGTTCATTCAGAACGCACAACAAAATCCAAAATCTAATCCCATTCCTTTTCTAATTCCAAATTTGGTATCTAAAGTGTGTATATATATTATAGGATAAAATGAAAAAAAAAACTTTCCTGAACCATTAACGAATCCGCAATTAATTCCTAAATTACTAAAGTTGCAACTAACCTGTAATTTTGTTGCAGATAGCCCCTCAGGCCAAGCTCCGGTCAGATCTTGCCGTAAAAGTGACCATGTGATGGTCACGTGTTGCACACTATAATTTTAAAGACCATAATGTCCTTATGAGCATCAAAAATACACTAATGCCCTTTATGTGACTCTTAACACCCAAAAACTCAACACCCAAACGCACCGTTATCAACATATTGTTCATCGTAAATTCAAATATATATATATAGTTAAAACCAGTATTCATCTTCTTCCCCATCTGCTTTCTGAAAAGAAAAAAAAAAAAAATCTGTTCACCCCATAAGAAAAATCACACAATGATGAAAGCAAAAAAGAAATATTGGCCTCAAATCTCCAAACCTTCAGTGGGAATCGAAGTTTCAACGATGAGTTTGCATCTTCGTCGGCAAGTAGCAGAACACTCTACAACAATTCTTTATACTTCTCAGTCGTCAATACACACCCTTTATATACACCCCCCAAATCCTTCGAACCCTAACCCAATTTCAGAAAAATCCTAAATAATTTTCCAAATCAACTTCATACCTCTCAATCGCTCCCAATATCTACATTGATTCCTGCAATATTTGCATCAATCCCACCTAATTTACACCTCAATCACAAAAAAAAGTTCAATCATTCATGCATGAAAAAGAAAACAGACAGACACACACACATATATAGAGATATTCATATCCGTCTCCATCGCGATCGCCATCGTGAACCCATTAGCAACGCAATCGAAGCCAACTCCTCTACCATTGTCGCCATCCCCGCCGATGGCACCATCATCACCGTCCCCACAACTACACCGCCGGCTCCACTCCCATGGAATAATCAGGTTTTCTGTTTCGTGTAACCACTCCAAGGAAAAACACCAGTCTATCTCCACTATTGCGATGGAGACGAATTGGTTGACTATTATACATTGAACTTGTGATTTCTGTGATTATTACAGAGGTTTTTTTATTTTTTATTTTATTTTCAGTTTCTGATTTGTTTTAATTGTTTGATGTCAAAAGGAGGAGAGAATATTAGGTACCCGTCAGCATTGACACCTGCTACCCCAATCCAATAAGAACATGACATGTTACTAACTTTTCACATGAGCATCATACTCAACATAGCAGCAAGCCACTGACGGAGATGTCGTCAACTTTCTTTCTCTCTCCTCAGCCCTCCATCCCACTTTCTTTCTCTCTCCTCATTGCTCAAAGTAAATTTTTTTTCAGAAAACCAAGTCGGGGCCCTATGTGCGCCATCGCCGCCCACTCCGGCGTGAACGAATCACCATCAACGAGTACCAAGTCAAACGTGCTGGTATGCACAACAAGAAAGCCGGATTGGACTCCCTGTGCGAACAAACAAAGACCCAATAACTTCCATCCATACCCTTTTTAATCACTTAATAATGAACAAAAAAAATGAGGATTTTGAACACAAGGCTAGATAACCAGTATAGGTTTCGTAAGTGAATCGGTTGTCGGCCGCTTGTGTCAAAACCGGTAAAGCCAACCGGCCAATTCTTGCCGCCGATGCCGCACCGCAAGGTCACAACCGACCTCTCCACAGCCCATCGCCGGCTATGCTGCCATTGCCATCGTCATCGCTGCACCAGCCGGCCGAACCAGTCCTCTCCACAGCCCATCGCCGGCCCATGCCGCCATCGCCATCGCCGCACCAGCCGGCCGAACCAGGATTCCTCTCCTGAAATCGCACATCGCCGATTCAGTGTTTGCCGACGATTCTTTCTCGCTGTCGCCATCATCGTTCTTCACCGGATTCTCAGCAATCAACGTACTTCTTAGATGGCCCATCATCCAAATCCTTGCCTGAAATTGCACATGGTATAAAGATAATGGAACCATTCAATGTTCGTGGGATTTCCAAATACACCTCAAATAGATAATTAATTGCACAACATCATGGGATTACAAAATTATACTACTATAGGGGTACATTCAGATACTGGAGTTATACTGGGGTTTGAATTCCTCAATTTAGCTCGGAATAAAAATTTTAAATCACCTTCTTGGCCAATATTATCCAAGGATTCTGCCGAATTCAAGTCAGTGAAGTAAAATTCTTTCCAAAATTTGTATTTTGATTTGATGACACCAGCTAAATCAACAAGAACAAATGCTACATAATAAAGGCAAGTATAAGTTATTTATTTATTTTTTTTTTTTTTTAATTGGATGGATATTTTTTATAGGTTGCTCCAGCAAATTAATGAGCCAATGTTTGGAGGTGGTGGTGCTGATGGAGGTATATTTTTAACATCTTCCTAATGAATTTGTTTTCAATGAACTCTACCGTAATTTTGGGTGTCCTTTTGACAGCCATACATAGAGTTGCTGGTCCAGAACTCCGAGCAGCATGCTATAATGTCCCAGAAGTCCAACTAGGAATTCGATGCCCCACAGGAGAAGCGAGGATTACCCTGTAGGTGATACCAAAAATAAGTCTTGCAAACCATTGTTATGTGGGAAATAAGAATTTCGTCTCAGGCCCAATCGAGAACTTGGCTCCCCGAAAAAAGCAATGAGGAGAGAGAAAGAAAGTTGGATGGAGGGCTAAGGAGGGAAAAAGAAAAATAACTTGGTTCTCTGAAAAAAGCAACGAGGAGAGAGAAAGAAAGTGGGATGGAGGGCTGAGGAGAGAGAAAGAAAGTTGACGACGTCTCCGTTAGTGGCTTGCTGCTATGTTGAGGATGATGCTTATGTGAAAAGTTAACAACATGTCATGTTTTAATTGGATTCGGATAGCAGGTGTCAATGCTGACGGGTACCCTTGGGTACCCAATATTCTCTCCAAAAGGAGATAACAATGTTAGCTGGCCAAAAATAAATAAATAAAATAAAATGTTAGTTGGCAAATTTTTATTGGTCATGAGATTACATTACCTACGTCATCCTCCACAAGGTTAAATATGTCTTAACAAGGTTATTTTTATTGGTAGTTTTAACAAGGTTAAATATGTCTTTTAATTTATATTATATATATATATATATGCTTAATAAAAACCCTAATCTCCCGGTACGTCTTACTATAGACACTTTGGGTCTCTCCCTCATCCTCTCGGGTCTCTCTCTCATCCTCTCGCCGGTCTCTTTTGTGTGCTCCGTCAGCCTCACCATCACTGGCCGATCTCTTTAGCCACAGGTATGTCTCTCTCAACAGTCTTTGTGTTCTCTTTCTTTACACATCTCTTGTCCCTCTCTTATAGGTGCTTTCAAAAATCCTAATTTAACCTACAAATGCAGCAAATCCTTTTTAACCTACAAATCCAGCAAATCCTGCATTAACCTAACAGATCCTTTCAAATCCCTAATTTGTTCTTTCTTTTTTCTCCCTAAATTTGTGTTCCACCCATTAACCGAAATAAAACTACAGTGCACTACCTATAAATATCTGTATAAAGTTAGACAAATTAGTCCATTTATTCACCTCTTAAGAGAAGTGAAAACCCTATACTGTATGCAATTTGGAGAATTCATATAACAGATTGATTGTGTGGAAATTAAATGGGGCGGGTGGGGTTTTTTATTTATTTATTTATTCTAATAAGACTTATTTATCTATAAAAAAAAATTTATGCCTGGCTTCTGATCTGACATTGTGATTTCATCTTTGACAATTTTTTTAACTAACAGACCCTAAGGGTATGTTTGGATAGAAGGGGAGGGGAGAAAAGAAAAGAAATGATAGTATTAGTTAGGAGAGACAAGAAAAGAAAAGAAAAGAAAAGATAGTAATAATTTTAATTCGTGTTTCGACAGATATGGGAAAAACTAAAAGAAATGATAATTATTGTTGTTTGGATAAGATAGAGAAGAGAAAAGAAAAGAAAGGATAGTGACTAAATTACTATCCTATTCTTTCATAATCACTTTACATATTATCCATTTTCAAAATCTCACATATGATATTTGGAATGTTTCTTTGTGATAGTTCAATGCAATGGATAAAAACTAAAGTAAAAATGAAAAAAGAAAAAAATAAAATAAAAATAATGGAAGAAAACAAAATTAGGACATAAATGGAATAACTTTTTTTTATATTAATTTGTGGAGGGTATTTTTGGTATTAAGAATTTACAACTCCCTATCTCCCCCTATCTCTCCCTATCTTCTCAAAATGGGATAGTTATCCCTCACTATCTCTCCCTATCCTCTCTTTTCTCTCCAATTAAGTTACCCAAACACACTCTCACACTATCCTCTCTTTTCTTTTCTCTCCCTATCCCACCACATCAACCCTACCAAACACACCCTACATCCTAAATTCTGAAGGCATATATATATATATATATATATATATATTATTTATTTATTCTAATAAGACTTATTTATCTATAAAAAAAATTTTATGCCTGGCTTCTGATCTGACATTGTGATTTCATCTTTGACAATTTTTTTAACCAACAGACCCTAAATTCTGAAGGCATATATATATATATAAATTAGAATTACACTTTATCTCAATTAATTCATATGGTTAATATTTAATTCTATATATATGTTGAATGTTTCAGTTAGCTTAGGCTATAAAATCTGAAGACCCTCTTTCCATTAACTAACAAACCCTCTTTCGCTTTCCCTCATTATCATCAATCTTTATCTGCTATAATTGAATATTTGGAAGATTTCACAGATTTTTCTAAATCTGCTGAACTCTCCTTTTCCTTTTCTTGATTCTCATTCTTTCGTTCTCTTATGGCTAGTTTGGTGTTCTCTTATGGCTAGTTTGGTGTGATGGAATGGAATAAAAGAAAGTGGAATGGAATGGTTTTTTTTCCATTATCGTGTTTGGTGCTATTTTTAAAGTTGGAATCATCATTCTCCACTTTTTTCTTGGAGAATGGTCATTCCATTAAAATCATTTCACCCTCAAACAAAAGGAATGACCATTCCATTCCATTCCCTCATCCATTCTCATTCCATTCCAATTCATTCCACCACACCAAACTAACCCTTACATAATAGCTGATGTTTTCCCGGTCCGGTTCACCAGGTTTGACCATGTACTACCATGAATTTTCTTTCATCATCTTTTGAGTTTGATCCTGATGCAGAAGGAACGCTAGCTAAATAGTTAACACATGCAAGTCGAATGTTGTTTTCTAGGAGCCTAAGAGACGGACAAGATTCTCCTAGCTTCACTTCAACTAGATACATCTAGGTGAGTTGAATCATATATATATATATATATATATATATATATATATATATATATATATATAATATTATCACCTATTCATTGAAATCTATATTCTTATTCACCAACTCTAAATAAAAAATTTATACCTAAATTTGTAGATTTTTACACAAACTCTTAAATTATTTTCAACTGTAATTTCCAAATATCCATTTTATGCTGAACTAATTTTAAGAGGGATAGTAATTAACAGCGTTCACTGGTCGATACATTATACCACTCCAGCCAGGCCAACAACAATTTTGGTAGGAACTACGGATTTTACTTTTGTAAACTTGACTGAAACTGAAAATAATAAATGTCTGAAATTGCTTGTAAGTATGGTAGGCACGCGTCTGAAATTTCTCCTTCAATCAGTCACTGGTGTTTTTCAATAGAGCTGTAAGGTGCATTTTTAGTCAAACAATACCATGTTCATTAGTTAATTAGATTGTTGATGTGGGGCCTTAACAATCGTAGGATTAAATACTTGTAGATGCTTGGAGACAAATTTCCTTGGAGAGGATCCATTCCCAATTTAACTTATAAATCCTTTTAAAATGCGTTTGGATAACATCCTTTTTCGATTGGGTATGGCTTCAACTATTCCGCCAATTAGTTAATCATAGACATATTTTAGTTAATGGTCGTATATATACCAACTTATGCGGTCAGGTCCAGAGCTCTGATTAAAAATTCTCAAGAGGAATAATCTAATGCACTGATATATGTATGACAAATTAGTCCATTTGTTTTTTGTTTTATTTTATTTTATTTTTTTGACTTATTTATCTTCAAAAATATTTATGTGTCTCTTTAACCAATAAGCTTCTGATTTGACCCTAAATTCTGAAGGCATATATATATTTATATGTATCTCAATTCATATGGTTAATATTTAATTCAATATATTGGTTGAATGTTTCTGTGGGATGTAGAGCTAGCTTAGGCGAGAAAAACTGTAAGCAGCATAGCATGGGAAGCAGAAACAGAATCAAAAGCAATGACAACTCGAAATGCCTGCCTAGAGAAATCATCGATGAGATACTAACAAGAGTACCTGCTGAATCACTTGTTAGATTCAAAATAGTATGTAAGTTTTGGAAAACCATCATCTCTGATCCAAAATTTATCAAATGTCATCTTCTCATATGGGAATCCAAGCCTGCAGTCTTGGTCAGTGAAGATTTAACCTCCCATCGCTTGCTTCTTTCGGATATCGAACAGAGAGACTCCACAGATTTTCCTATATGTATTCCTGATGATTACACCCATATTGTTGCCTCTACTGATGGTTTATTACTTTTTCGAGATTATGTTCTTCCTATTTACAAAAATGTAGGAGGAGTTCTTCATGCCCAAAAAGAACAAAAGCTTTGTGTTCATAATCCTGTTACCGGCATTCAAAAGAAGTTACCTCCAAATCCAAATTTGGGCTTTGATGGTGGCATTTTTTTGATAGTACATGATGCTTCAATTCAAAAATATAAAGTGATGGTTTTTAAAGATCGGGCACGTCTTCTCCCTAATGAGATCAACTTAATTACGATAGACCATCAGAGCAGTGGATGGAGGAAATTGATCAGTCCATCTACATTTTGCCTAGAAGGTGTTTTCAAGCCTATCGCTGTGAATGGGATATTGTATTGGCTAGCATACAATTGTGATGTTGTTCCTCGAAGATTAAGGGGCATGGACATTGCTTACAATATTGAGAGTGTTTATTCTCCTCGGGTGGCTTTTGTGCAATCAATGGATATTGGTACCGAGGAATTCGGGCAAAAAATATGCTTGCCATGTCAACCAAAAAGAGGTTCTGAACACCAACTTATAAATTGCAACTTGTTAGTGATGAAGGGATCAATCTACTTCTCAAACCCGGCTACGGAAATGGAATTAGTGTTATGGATGTTGGAGGATTTGGGTAATCATATTTGGGTTAAGAAACATAAAATATGTCTTCTTTCCATTGTTGGTAAGCCTAATAGTCTGTCAAGTTTCTTAATGGATGATTCATTTCACCCGATTCAAATGGTGGGGAATCAAGGATTGATGATCATTCGACATGATTGGGATGATGGTTACATGGGTAGTAGATTTGGGAGAAGTTGGTATTTGTACAACTTAAGGAGCCAGGAATTGAAAGCTATTGTCGGGACACCTATAGCGAAAAGTCATAGCGTCTATTCTGGTCTGGTGATTACTCATGTCAAAAGTCTAGTTGGGTGGAATTGAAACTATCGTCGGGACTGACTGCTAAAGTGAAAAGGTGGTCAGGGGATTCCTCATGTGAAAAGTCCGAAGATCTTTTTAATTTGTGAGTTGTTTTTACAAAATACTGCCTCCTAGAATTCCCTTTTGCGTTAAGAACTGAAGTATTTATATTCCTTTATGTAGCTAGCTTTGGCTGTCATTGCTGTGGGTATTTATTCCTTGATGTAGCTAGCTTTTGTTGTGTTATGTTGTTACTGTTGTCATTGTTATTGTAATAGTTAATGTGATATTTTCTAGTGTGATATTTTCTACTTAGCTATGAAAATATTTATTATTTTTTTATTAACATTTTTCAATGATTATGATTTTTTCTTTCATTCTCAATATTACTAATGTAACGACTTTCGAGTGAACAAAACACTATGAATGTTTTACAATTCTTAGTGGAAGTAATCTCCCATCCCTATATATATAGGGCACAAACTCTGGATGAATAACTTTTCGAAAGTATAAAGACCTAGAATGCTTTGCCGGGCATGCCCTTGTCTGTCAATACGTTTGTGCAAAAATAGGAGATTATTGATGCCCAAATTTATTTATTTATTTTTTTAGCCATCAGTGTAACTAACTCATATATCAACTTTGCTCATTTAGAGTTTCGAACTCTTACCATCTATTTTGAATGAAAGGTTGGACCTGAGCCATAAAGGCATTCCCACCTTGGTATTTCTAGTTTTAACACAATTTTCATGTTTCTAATAAAGATAAAACCATTTTTTATGGAGGAAGTAAAGGGGCTTGAATTTTTGTCGCAGAAATCTGGTATCGGATTTTGGCGTTAGATTGGGTTAGATGAAGGTGAAGGCTCACCAATCCTTAAGCTTTTAACATAAAAAATGATTAACCCCATAGCGCAATCATAAGCAATCCGGCACTTTCTAGCCATCTCAAATTCTTCCTTCTTTTTAGTTGAATATCTCAAATTATTTGTTCTTCTCTCTTAACTATAAAGTTTTTGTAGCCCTATTAATTTACTAAGTATACTTATAAAATCATGCACAAAAATAATATATAGAGAGGAGTAGACGACTAGTTCACAGCATAACTGGTGTCCATGAGTCGACTCTGAGTGTGTCTCAGATGGAATAGAAAGGAGGAGTACCATAAAAATTAGATAATCCAATAATAATATTATTGAAGCATCTTTGCTTGAATTTTGAGTGCTACAAAAAGATGATAATTGAAATCTTTTATTGCGGAATTTAACACAAATGCTCAAAAAAAATTGCCATTGAATTACAATGGGTGAAAAAAGTTAGCTGAGTGTGCATACTGAAGTGAGTGAAAAAATTCAACATTTGGGGAGATCTGCTGGTGGAGGAAGCAACTTTTGATTCGGAAGCTTTCCATCTACGACGAGACAAGCCAAGCCATCTTCAAACCCCAGCTGGTGTGCACTTCTAGGTGACAATGCATGAACCATACTCCGGTTGATAAATCATATATGCATGAAGCAATACCTTTCCTATGTATGCATATAAATATGAGTGTTTTAATTGAAAAAATCTATATCAAAGTTCTATCCATGTCTAATTCTCTCTCTTAATAGTGCTTATGTGCATGAAAGTGAATGCATGATAATAGATTTATTTTAAAGCCTATGTGACAGATTAATCACAAAAGGCCTCCAAAATGCAAGTAGTAGGACAATTTATTTTATTTTATTTTATTTTTATTTTTTTTAAGACACCCTAGTGGTCTGACATATTGTGAATTGACATTATTACCCTTTGATCCATTAAATTATCAATTTATCGAAAAACAATTCTTTTTAATTGACTAAAATACCCTAAAACCCACCCCCACTCATACTAATAAACCAAGCGCCCCACACCCCCGTCAGATCCACTGCCACCACTACACAGCCTCACCATAGCCGCCACCACCTATATTATTGAATCTTTCTAATTTCTATTTAGGCATTTTGCATTTTATTTATATGTAAAGCCTTTTTTTTTTTCGCAAATATATATATATATATATTTGATTTGAAGAGGATTTGAGTGACCAATTTTATGATTCACTATTTCCTGTCCAAGCAGCCTCCAAAGAGCCTTCTGTACATTATTCTAAAAATAACTCTACAATCTGAAAATTACACAAACTTATGATGTTATAAAGAAAATAGCCAAAACTCTGCAAACGTTTCCTGGAATTATTGGGTTCATTTTATGTTCCCACGGCACGAAGGTTGTTATATCTTAGGGGTGGCAAAATAGGTCAGGAACCATCAACCCACCCATATCCGCCCGCTTTTTAATGATTATGGGTGAATCATATTTAATTTGAGAGTTAAGATGGGTTGACCATATTCAACTAATATTTCACCCTTCACATAATAAACACATAATACACATCTATTCTATATTGCACTCAACTCATTTCTTTCTCTAAAATTCTCTCACTCACAATCCTCTCTCTCTAAATTTGTCTCTCATCAATCTCATTTCTAAGTTTCACTCTCTAGAAATTTCTTCTAAAAAAATAATTTAAAAAAATAAAAAATAATTTTAAATAACTAAAAAAAATAATAATTTAAAAAATAAAAAATTTTAAAACCTTTCGAAAAAAATAATTTAAAAAAATTTAAAAATAAATAAAAAAATTTAAAATTTAAAAAAATTAATTATTTTTTGTTTTTTAATTATTTTATTATTTTTTAGTAATTACCGAACGGGTGACCCTGTTCATTTTCAACTCACCCATTTTCAATCCGTTCAGAACGGGTTGAATATGAGTCTTGACCCATATTAACCTGCCCGTTTTCAACTCAACCCAAACCCAACCCAACCCGTCCATTTTCCACCCCTAGTATATCTTAACAAATTATTGTTGAAAACATTTTATTGTATCATGCCATCAACCACCTTGCCAGTTGCGAAGATGGATCATTTCCATTGATGATCCACAATGGCGAAATTGATGACAACAGCAGTGTCGGTGATGGTGAGTGGTGATTGGGTTGATTTGATGGGAGATGTGAATGCCTTTGTGTTCGTTGGGAGGAAGGACAGAAGGGCCTGTCGTCACCGGCGGCAGACCAATAGTCTCTGATGGCCACTAATCAATTCGTGTTTGATTGGAAACCTAGGCAGTGGTAAGTGGTGGGGGGTGAAATCGAAAGGGTGGGTTTTTTCTTGGGTTGTCTTCAATTAGGTAGCGGTGCTTGAGGAATGGGAATTGTACTTGATGGGGAAGGTAAGGGGGTGGTGGCGGTGGCGGCGGTAGTGGCAGAAGTGGAGGAAGGAGGCGGTGAGATTGTGAAAGGTGAGAATGTGGAAGCAGAGGGAGGTGGTAAATGTTGCAGTGGAGAAAGGGTGGAGGTTGCGGTGGTGGCGGCGGCAATGGTGGGTGGCAGTGGTGGCGGGGATTTGAAGTGGTGGTGTTCTTCCTCGATTTAAACTAGTGAGAGAACTGAGATTGATTTTTCCTTCGCCCATATGGGTTTTATATATATATATATATATATATATATATATAAGGGTAACAATGACTTTTCACAAGTTGTGATATTTTACAATAAAAATGAATTAAATATTAAAGGGCAATCTTGTCTTCTCTAAGATTTTAAGGCATGTTTGGCTCAAACTAATAATATTGAACACATCAATATTTAGTAGTGGCCTGTCGTGGGGTACAACCAAATTTTTGCAAAATAGTATGGCCAAGTTTTAAATTTATAAATGCCACTACTACCTCTAACTAAAAAGATAGCTAGGGTGAGTAGGGATCATCCCAAAGAATTTTTATGCGTGCTTGCAATGGAAACAATGTATAGAGTTAGTAGGTTGAGTGATCAAAAGGTGGTGTGTTTGGTTGATTAAACTACAAATTAAACTAAACAAGTTCAATGTAAAATAAGCAATTTAAATGAAATTTAGAAAAAACAAGAGAGTGAGGTCTTGGAGTCTAGAGGCCACCACTAAACATCACCATTCTAGACATTCAATGTATAATTAATGAGGGGAAACATGTGTTGCAATTTGAGAGTGTGTGATTGATTGTTTTAACAAATATGGATAACTAATTAAGCATATATTGTCTAAACAACCTAGTGAATAGCACAATAAATCAAACTAAGCCATTAATCCTTCCTTTAAGCTCACAATCCAAACACATCACATGGTTAGAGAATAATACTACTTGCATTCATAAGCATGGAACATCAAACAACAAACATGGATTGTCCTCCCATCTAACAACTAAGGCAACTACACTGCAACTAAGCTAAGGGCATGAAAATTAACTAAAGAAACTAAGGGAGAGGCACAATCCATCAAGACATGAGTATGAACCATCAAATAAACCACAATAGTATTCTATGAAGCACTATGCCGTAACAATCTCTAGATCCATAGCATTAACACACATAGATCTGCATTAATAACACAAAAACTAGAGATAAACACATGAACATCTATTCTAGCATACATAGACATATGGATAGAATGAAATGATCAATTGGAAGTATTAAACTATACAAATCATTGAAGAAATAAGATTCGTATATAAAATAAGTGTCAAAGCAAGATTACAACACAAATCCCCTCAAAATACAAAGCATTAGAGTCTAGAAGGCATGTTTAGGGCTAACTCTAGCCCCAAGAAGATGTTTAGCTACTCATTGAAGTAGTCATCCAACCTTCAAGGGCTATCTCCATGGTAGGAATGACATCCTTCTTGATGGAAACCCTAGAAGAATGGAAGAACTCCCAAGAATGTGTCTCTAGCTTCTCCTCCTCTCTTTTCTTCCTCTCTAAGAATGTTTCTAAGTCTATGAGATGGTATATGATATATGATGTAAAAGAGGCTCAAAATCCTTATATAGGTAGGTCAAGTGTCACACCCAATGGTCTGGATTCGTGCACTAGGGTCCTTGCAATGATTGCACTATGAGCCAACTTTTAATGAGCTAGAACTTATTTTTTTCAGACTTGAGGAGGTTAGATCGATTGAATAGAGGTGAGATCCATCGAATGTTGCAGAGATCGATCCATCATTGGCGGTGCCTTTTTGAATAAAGACAAATCTCTGAGATATTTTGGGATATTTTGGGAAAGAGACAAAAGTGGTAAGTGGTGTGGTAGGTGTGGATAAAATCGAATATTTTCGATCGATTGAAGAGATGTTAGATCGATCGAACTTGGTGGATTCTTTTGGATAAGAACAAAGGCTTGGTTCCATCTTGATATGTCCAGATCGTTGTTGCTTCGATTGATCAAAGGATTTCTGAGATCGATCGAACAGGCTGATTTTCACACTTTGCTTCTGCTTCCACTTTGCTTCTTTCTTCCATCCAGCTTGAGTTAGCTTCTTT